ATCTATTCACAAGGGCTGCTGCTATTGCTGTGTCTATGGGGCAGCCATTTCCTGTACTCTGCTGCTCTAATAAACTTGCTTTCCTTTTTCTCTATTGGCTTGCTCATGAACCTTGCACAAAGCCAAGAACCCCCTTGGGCTAAGCCCCAATTTTGAGGTTCACCTGCATACCTCATACCCAAATCTGAACTCAAATTCAAAGTCTTAAATACTTTCCCCATGAAGGCATGCATCACCATCCCCTACTCCAGATATCTTACATGTCAATCTCTGAGCAGTGTTAATTATTTCTTTGTAATGTATCCATGGTATACCCATTCTTCTCTACCCTTACTGCCAGCATCCTATTCTAAATCTTAAGGTCTTAAGGCGAAAGCTTCAAGGCTCTCTGTAATCTGGATCTGCTCTTTCTACCTGAAGCCTTAGTACTCTCCCACACAAACACAGCATTTCTACATGTTTGCAGAATATGCTATTCTACTTCCACTTCTTCCCTAACAGTCTATCAAATCCTGTGAATCCTTCAAGCTCCAATTCCAAAAAGTATGTGCTTATGGTTGTCTTCCCAATTACGATTCTAAACTTCCTGAGGTTAGAACTATGTCTTCTGCTTCTTTTAAATGTCACACAGATAAAGAGATTATATGTTTTAAATCAAAACTCAGAACAAAGGATCTGTCATTTTCAGACAAAAAAAAAAATCTGACAGATAAAGTTAGACATCAAAATGTGTTTTATAGGTTACTGCAATGGCTTACTAAAACTACAGAATTATCATAATTCATGTTGAATACTTTTTGTGGAGTCTTTTATCATACAAGGAAGTTGTATAATACTACTACTAATAGTATTTCTGGGCTGGGTGCAGTGGCTAATGACTGTAATCCCAGCACTCTGAGAGGCCGAGGCGGGCAGGTCACCTCAGGTCAGGAGTTCGAGACCAGCCTGGCAAACATGGTAAAACCCTGTCTCTACTAAAAATGCAAAAATAGCTGTATGTGGTGGTGGCCACCTGTAATCCCAGCTATTCGGGAGGCTGAAGCAAGAGAATCGCTTGAACCTGGGAGGCAGAGGCTGGAATGAGCCGAGATCACACCATCGCACTCCAGCCTAGGAAACAGAGTAACACTGTCTCAGCAGAAAAAAAACAAAATCCTTACCCCAAAGTTGGTCTCAGTCACTCAAAATGATTTATTGAGCACCTACTAAAAGTCTACCACCAGCGTAATGGAAGGCACAGTGACTACAGAAGCCTCAGCCCCACGTCCTCCCATGTTCCGGTCTAGGGAGATCCTTCATGGCTCTTGAAAAACTTTGAGGCCGGGTGCAGTGGCTCAAGCCTGTAATCCCAGCACTTTGGGAAGCCGAGGCAGGCGGATCATGACGTCAGGAGATCGAGACCATCCTGGCTAACACGGTGAAACCCCATCTTTACTAAAAATACAAAAAATTAGCCGAGCGTGGTGGTGGGCGCCTATAGTCCTAGCTACTCGGGAGGCTGAGGCAGGAGAATGGCATGAACCCGGGAGGCGGAGCTTGCAATGAGCTGAGATCGCACCACTGCACTCCAGCCTGGGCGACAGAGCGAGACTCCGTCTCAAAAAAAAGAAGTTTGAAACCAGCCTGACCAACATGGTGAAACCCCGTTTCTACTAAAATACAAAAATCAGCCAAACATGGTGATACACGCCTGTAGTCCCAGCTACTCGGGAGGCTGAGGCAGGAGAATTGCTTGAACCCAGGAGGCAGAGGTTGCAGTGAGTCAAGATGGAGCCACTGCACTTCAGCCTGGGCAACAGAATGAGACTCTGTCTCAAAAAAAAAAAAAAAAAAAAAAGCAAGAAAACTTGATTCCCTCCTATGCTTTGTATATATCTCTCCTGACTTCCTGACTTAAGTAGTTGAACTGATTCTTATCTCCTTACTATTTTCTTTAAACCATCACAAAGGAAATGCCTTTTTTCCAGTAAAAACACCTAAATTCCAGTATCACCTTAAGTTGTCCTCATCTAGTATACTCTGCTCTTACTTTTAAAAAAAAAGAATAAAAGAGAAAAAAAAGGAAAGGCATGGGGAGAATAAAGAAAAACCTTCATTTCTCCTTTCCTTATGTCTAAATAATGAGAACTCAAAAAGACTGAGGCTTACACACTTGCCTCATTAAGTAGAAAACTATCAAAATAAGAATTTCAAAGTAATAAAAAGTATTTGTCCACATCAACTATGTGCAGGACAATGTCCTGCCTTGTTTTTTTTTTTATTTGTGATCAAAAGTCAAATCTATGTAATTAGCAAAATGGCACAAGCTATTTACCCTTTTTTATTCTAAAAAAAGTTGTGTAGAGGATTAGCAGTGAAACAATATGTAATACATAAAAAAAAAAAAAATACTGCTATTTCTATCTACATTTCCAGATAAAACACAGGTGTCCCAAAAGCAATACAACAATGCAAGCTACTGTGAATGAGGTTGTAGATATACAGTAATATGCTATGACAAGGGATGATTTCACAGGAGAGCACTTTTCCCCAAAAGAGCTTTCATCTTTGACAATGTGCTTCAGGCAGCTCATGCCAGAGAGGGCATGACCAACACAGTACACCATCAAGATTAATGCTAAACTCCCTCATCTTGGGCACTCCATCAGTTTTCAAACACAGCAGGGTCAGAAACATAAAATTCTTCAATATAAACACACACAGACACAATAAAACACCACATGCTGAAAAGGTACCAGTAGGACAAAATAAGAACAAGTGGACTTAAGGCCAGGCACAGTGGCTCACGCCTGTAATCTCAGCACTTTGGGAGGCCAAGGTGGGCGGATCACAAGGTCAGGAGATCGAGACCATCCTGGCTAACGCAGTGAAACCCCGTCTCTACTAAAAGTACAAAAAATTAGCCGGGCATAGTGGCGGGTGCCTGTAGTCCCAGCTACTCAGGAGGCTGAGGCAGGAGAACAGCGTGAACCCAGGAGGCGGAGCTTGCAGTGGCTGAGATGGCGCCACTGCACTCCAGCCTGGGCCACAGAGCGAGACTCAAGTGGACTTAAAATTCGGCAAAAAGGAAAACATCTTAACAGTCAAAATGAATGAATACGCCAGGTGCGGTGGCTCACACCTGTAATCCTAGCACTTTGAGAGGCTGAGGTCGGCAGATCACGAGGTCAGGAGTTCGAGACCAGAGTGGCCAGCATGGTGAAACCCTGTCTCAACTAAAATACAAAAAAAAAAAAAAAAAAAAAAAAATAGCTGAGCATGGCAGCATGCGCCTGTAGTCCCAGCTACTTGGGAGGCTGAGGTAGAAAAATTGCTTGAACCCAGGAGGCAGACAGTGCAGTGAGTGCCACTGCACTCCAGCCTGGCAACAGAGCTCAAAAAAAAGAAAAAAATCACCTACCTACCTACAGGAAAAGCTCAAATGCCTTAATATGAAAAACGAAACCCTTCACAATCTCGGCCAGGTGTGGTGGCTCATGCCTGTAATCCCAGCACTTTGGGAGGCTAAGGCAGGTGGATCACCTGAGGTTCGGAGCTCAAGACTAGGCTGGCTAACCCGGTGAAACCCCATTTCCACTAAAAATACAAAAATTAGCTGAGCATGGTGGCGGGCGCCTGTAATACTAGCTACTCAGGAGGCTGAGGCAAGAGAATCACTTGAATAGGGGAGGTGGAGGTTGCAGTGAACCGAGATCATACCACTGTACTCCAGCCTGGGTGACAGAGTGAGAATCTGTCTCAAAAAAAAAAAAAAAATGAATAAGAGAAGTTGGTATCTTTTCTAAAGCATAAATGTGTTCTGCTTAGCCGTTTAAATGACTATCACCTACCTACAGGAAAAGCTCAAATGCCTTGGTATGAAAAACAAAACCCTTCACAATCTTAGCACAATCTACTACTCTAAAGTCATCTTAGTAGGGCGCGGTGGCTCACGCCTATAATCCCAGCACTTTGTGAGGCCAAGGTAGGTGGATCACCTGAGGTCAGGAGTTTGAGACCAGCCTGGCCAACATGGGGAAACCCTGTCTCCAATAAAAATACAAAAATTAGCCGGACATGGTGGCGGGCACCTGTAATCCCAGCTATGCGTGAGGCTGAAGCAAGGGAATCACTTGAACACGGGAGGCGGAGGTTGCAGTGAGCCAAGATGACACCACTGCACTCCAGCCTGGGCGACAGAGACAGACTCCGTCTCAAAAAAAAAAACAAACAAAAAAAGAAGTCATCTCCCACCACCTCTTCCAAGCAACCATGTCACCATCCTCTTCTGCCAGTGTATCTTTGTGTACTGTTCTCGGCCTATGTGCCCATACCATTTTCTGTCAAACCGCAATTCATCCTTCAAATTGGAAGGGTCATTCATCTCAGTAGAGCCTTTCCCAGTGTCCCAGGCAGTAGTCTCCCCCTTTAAGCTGCTGCCCAATCACAAAAGACCATACACATCTCCAGACACACCAAATAAAGGATGAGAGAATGGAATGAAAGGGATACAGAAGTGGATATAGGGAATGGGAGGGGAAAGGAAAGTCTATATTCATTCCTAAAGTTCACTGCTGGCCAGGCACAGTGGCTCACACCTATAATCCCAGCACTCCGGGAGGCCAAGGCGAATGGATCACCTGAGGTCAGGAGTTCCGAGACCAGCCTGACCCATGTGGTGAAACCCCGTCTCTACTAAAAATACAAAATTAGCCAGGAGTGGTGGCACATGCCTGTAATCCCAGATACTTGGGAGGCTGAGGCAGGAGAATCGCTTGAACCCAGGAGGTGGAGGCTGCAGTGAGTCGAGAGCCCACCATTGCACTCTAGCCCGGTGACAGAGCAAGATTCTGTCTCATGAAAAAAACTAGTTAACTGCTGACCCTTAGAAACACAACAGTTCTAATTCCGTACCAAATCAATATCCCCTTTCAGAAATACTACTCTGTAAAGGCACCCAGAAATAGCAATGGCAAAGAGGTATTGACAAGAATGTAACCTAGAGACCTTTTATACCTTACCTCCTTCTTCCTTGACTTCTTCACTAGGCTCTTCTGAAAAAGGCTCCTTTAGGATAGGATGATCACGTCTGTCTTCTTGGGTAACTGGCCCAGGCCTCAGTGTAATTTTTTTCCCTCTTTTTGAGCCAGTAGCCTGGAGTTTTCCTTTACCAATGTGTATATTAAGGGGGTGAAAAGACTCCAAGGAAGGTAGGGTGATTCCCTGAGAGATGGCAACATCAACACTTTCTAGAATTGGTACATTTGTGTCCTGGGTGAGCATCCCAGAGCTCAGAGATGTATCCTCCATACCAAGCTGATTTCCTGCATCCTGCACAGATTGTACTTCGAAGCCAGCTACTCTGCCATGACTTGGATCCCAGGACAGTGACACCGACCTCAAGTCCTTAACCTGGTCAGATTCTGGTTTAACAGCTGATTCTAGGTCTACGTTGTTTTCCTCCTGATTGCCTTTATGCTGCAGGGACTCTGTCACTGTAGTTCTTCTCTTCTTACAGGGCAACATTTTAAAAGTCCCACTTTTGTTCCATTCTGAAAGAATAAAAACAAGTTCTTACTGCCTTCATATTAATTAATCGTAGTAACATTTACTCAATTATCTTTTCATTTATTCATGTTCAATCACGAATACAATACTTCACACCAAACGCACAATTTCCCTTTAGGTGGAAGCTGAGAGACAGCAGTTAAGTGACTGAGTTCAAATCTCAACTCTACTGATTACTACTGATGGACTACTGTTACCTTGGCCAAGTGATTTAACTTTGCAAGTCTTCAGTATCCTCAACAGTAAAAAATAATTGCTCTTACTTCATAGAATTGTTACAAGAATTAAAGGGTAAGAGATTAATAAACATTGTTATTATTACCATCAGGGTGGTAGACTAGCATGATGCTGAGAATAAACTATGGAGTCAGACTGTCTGGATGTTTCCCGAGTCACCTTCTCTCCAGCTTTATGACCTTGTGTGAGTTACTCATCCTGAATCTCAGTTTTTTCAGCTATAAAATGGAATATAGTAGCATCCACTTCATTAGATGGTAAATGATCAATATATGTTTGCTATTGCTGTTTTAATAAACAGGTATTTCCATTAACGGAAACAAATCAAAAGCAAAGTGTGACTGTTTAAAAGGTTAGGCTATGTTGGCCGGGTGTTGGCTCACGTCTGTAATCCCAGCACTTTGGGAGACCGAGGTGGGCAGATCACCTGAGGTCAGGAGTTCGAGACCAGCCTGACCAACATGGAGAAACCTTGTCTCTACTAAAAATACAAAATTAGCCAGGCATGGTGGTGCACGCCTGTGATCTCAACTACTCCAGAGGCTGAGGCAGGACAATCACTTGAACCTGGACATGGAGGCTGCCATGAGCCAAAATCGCTCATCATTGTACTCCAGCCTGGGCGACAAGAGTAAAACTCCATCTCAAAAAAAAAAAAAAAAAGAAACGGTTAGGCTATATTAACAAATTTTGTGTTGAAACAAGGAAGATGAGAGTCCTACTATCCTCTGTGCTATGTTACTTCTTGGTTTTTTGCTTCAATTCTAGTTATCACATTTTAAGGGCACTACTGACCTAAACCAGAGGGTATCCTCTATGTACTTTTAGTACCTGTTTGCAAACCTCTTTTACAATACTTATCAGTTTTGTAATGGTTTCTCGTCTTTCTGTTCCTCGTCTGCTTCCTCCAAAACTATGAGCTTTTTGAGAAACAGGATTAATTCAACTCATATCCCTAACATCCAGCAGTATCTGGGTTTTTTTTGGAACAAGGTATTGCTCTGTCACCCAGGCTGCATTGCAATGGCATGAACATAGTTCGCGGCAGCCTCGACCTCCTGGGCTCAAGCAACGCTCCCACCTCAGCCTCCCAAGTCATTGGGATTACGGTTCCATCCAAGCCACTGCACCAGTTCAGTATTTGGGTATTGTAGATACTCCACATGTCACTGAATATTGTAGATACTCAGTGAAAGCTCCCTGAATAATAAATGAAACAGAGGTTAAACAACTTATTCTGTGCAGCATTTGGGCCAACTGTTAAGCATTATATAAAAACTGATGGTGGCTGGGTGCAGTGGCTCACACCTGTAATCCCAACACTTTGGAAGGCCAAGGCGGGCGGATCACAAGGTCAGGAGTTTGAGACCAGCCTGGTCAATATGGTGAAACCTTGTCTCTACTAAAAAATACAAAAATTAGCCAGGCGTGGTGGTGGGCACCTGTAGTCCCAGCTTCTGGGGAGGCTGAAGCAGGAGAATCACTTGAACCCAGGAGGTGGAGGTTGCAGTGAGCCAAGATCATGCCACTGCACTCCACCCTGGGCAACAGAGCAAGACTCTGTCTCCAAAAAAAAAAAAAGACATCTTATTACCCAGGAAAACTTTACTGTCATAAATAGATCCAACAATAGAATAAATCGCCTTGTGTCAGATCACTGGCAATGTTCAAGCAAAGCCTGAATGTCCACTTATCAGAGTACTAGATGAAAGCTGGAACTAGAGAACTGAAAAACAAAAGTTCTTTGTAACTCTAAGAGTCTAAGGTTAGATTTCTCTTTCTTTCTTTTCTTTCTCTCTTTCTCTCCAGAGACAAGGTCTCGCTCTGTTGCCCAGATCGGAGTGCAGTGGCAAGATCCTAGTCACTGCAGCCTCAGACTCCTGGGCTCCAATGACCCTCTGGCCTCAGCCTCCCAAGTAGCCGGGACTACAGGCACTTGCCACAACCTTCAGCGATGTTTTTTGTTTTTTGTTTTTTTTGTAGAGACGGGGTCTCAATTTATTACCCAGACTGGTCTCAAACTCCTGGCCTCAAGCGATCCTCCCACCTCAGCCTCCCAAAGTGCTAGAATTATAGGCATGAGCCACCGCGCCCGACCTATAGTTAGTTTTAAACCTCCCTTCTGTTTCTCCAAGACATTAGGGGAGATTCTCCATCCCCTCAATCAACTGATGTCCTTAGTAATTAAAGCTTAATAAAACATGAAGATTTCGTTAGATTCCTGTGAGAGATGGTGGTGACTGGATGAGAAATAGAATGGGAGTAGCCAGGGCAACTCTTTTATTTCACAGATAATTACTGAGATCAAAAAAAGGAAAACAAAAGAAAAAGAAAGAAAGAAAAAAAAGGAAAAAAGACAGCTACTTCAGCTCCAGGCACTTCAAACACAACAGTAGCTCGACAGAGTCCGCTTTTTTGGGAACCCAAGTCGGACCAGCAGGGTGAATGAATGCCAATGTGGAGGCAGCCCCGGCACGGCCCTCTCCTAGGAAAACATTTTCAAAAGGGGTCCTAACCGCGCTTCCACCTCGGTGCCCAGGGCTGGCCCCAATCCCCATTCCCAACTACAGACCTTCACGCCCTTAACTTCCGCTACGCACCCCGCGTCCACCCTCAGACCGGACCCTCTCGTCCTGGACATCGTTCGCCCAGGTGTCCCAGCTCCCACCTGCCTCTTCCCACCCCACCACACATAAACCTGTACCCTCACCTGCCGGCCTGATTCCGCGGAAACGGGTTTGGCACCACCGGAAGTCAGCCAACGACAGCGAATTGCGTGCGCGTCCCCGAGCCTAGGAGCGCCGCGCCGCAGGGCATCAAGGAGCATGCGCCTAACACTATGCGCCATCCCATTTGAGGGCAGAGTGAAGCCACAGCGCTAGTGCGTCAGTTATTGGCAAAAAAAATTTAAAGGCACTACTTGACTTTCTCTGCCCATGGAGTTAGCCTACTCAAAAATGAGGTTAAGGTTCAGTGGTTTAGATTAACAGCTAATTTAGGGGCCGGGCGCCATGGCTCACGCCGGTAATCCCAGCACTTTGGGAGACGGAGGAGGGCGGATTACCTGAGGTCAGGAGTTCGAGATCAGCCTGGCTAACATGATGAACCCTCGTCTCTACTAAATATATAAAATTAGCTGGGCGTGGTGGCGCACGCCTGTAATCGCAGCTACTCCGGAGGCTGAGGCAGGAGAATCGCTTGAACCCGGGAGGTGGAGGTTGCTAAGGCAGTCTTGGACTCAGGCTACAGTAATTATTCATATATGTACAATATTCTACATTTTACAAAATGCTCTCACATTTTCTTAGGTGACGTGGTCTCCACAATAAACTATGAGATTATTATATCATATTCCAGTTTGCACAGGACAAAGTTCTGGCTCAGCTGAGTAGGTGATTTCACAATGGTACACAGACAGCTATCAAGGAGAATCAGGTATTAAGTCTCCTAATTCTAGCTAATAATGCATTGACCCAGTGTCCAGGAGGCTGCCTGGGGTGTAACAGATGTTCAATAATTCAATACACGCTTTTCGAATGAGCGAATTAATGAATGAATGACTCCTAAAATGATGTTATTTCCACTTTTCTAGAAATACAGAATGTCTGGAATCCACGGAGACTAAAAAAATAATAATAAAAATAAAAACAGAATGTCAAAAGCTGGAAAAATACTTTCAACCCCCTCATTTTACAGGTAAACCACCAACAAAAATTTATACATTTGAACTAATCCTATCTGTAAACAGAATCCAACAGGATGAAATTATCCACAGCCAAAATGAAGGTTCAAATTTACCCAAACACGGCTATAATTGGCAGTAGTCTGACTCTAACCTGAATCACACCAACTCTCCCAAATACCAAGGAAGACTCCAGAAGCTCAGAGTTTCACGTGTGTTGTCCTTTGACCTACAGAATACACAGATCCTTTGGTTTGGCCTCTCTCTCATACGAAACCCTAAGCACAGTGAGGCTCATGAAAAACAATTCAACACTGATTAACTTTGGCACTTTTCATTAGTTTTTGTTTGTTTGTTTGTTTTTAAAAAAGACAGCTTTACATACCACAATATCTATCTGTTTTACGTGTACAATTAAATGATTTTTTTTTTTTTGAGATGGAGTCTCCCTCTGTCGCCCAGGCTGGAGTGCAGTGGCCGGATCTCAGCTCACTGCAAGCTCTGCCTCCCGGGTTTAACGCCATTCTCCTGCCTCAGCCTCCCGAGTAGCTGGGACTACAGGCGCCCGCCACCTCGCCCGGCTAGTTTTTTGTATTTTTTTAGTAGAGACGGGGG